TATGATGGTGATGTGTGCATCTTTCCCGGTACCACCTATTCTATTGCAGCTTATATTAATACCTGCTAAACACTACAATATGCTGCTGCTAAGTGCAACCCTAGCTAACCTGTTTCCCAGTAACCCTATTAGTAATTGGACTATTAATTATTCTTACAAATAAATAAACGAAAATAAGATGGAATTAACAACGAAAACATTTGTTTGTCATATAATTATGAATTAAGTCAATCTTATCTCCATCATTTACCGCTGTCATGTTTCCCCTTTTCCTCCTCTTCTTGCTTTTTTCCGCTTCTGGCTGCCAGACGGATAAGTCCTCTTCATGTTTAAATTAGCAAATGCACGAGTAAGCGCTGTGCCAGTTTGAAAACGGTGGCCGACGCATCACGAGGAAAAAGCAAACACATCCAGCGTAACGTGAGAGGGGGGCCCCTAGGGGGGATGCAGATATATTGCTCCATGTTACTGTATATTAATGACATTTCCGATTGTTCAAATGGTCAGCTGTCGGGGGCCCCCTCAAAATGCGGGGCCCCAGGCAATTGCCCACCTTGCCTGCCCTATTGCTACGCCTCGATACTTGCTACGAGTATTAGGTCCATGCATTTCTGTCTGCTAATCAAATAACACCACAGCTCTAACAAAGATTAATTTGTATTTAACTTGTGCAGTGAGCACTATTGTGTTATTTTACACTTAATTATTACATTTATGCACCTAAAAGCTACTGTTACTGACTTTATTTGTAACTGTGTTTTGTTGTATTCATCTATGCTTGTAATTTGTGTAATTGTTCTTGTTTTATTACTAACTTTATTAAAGCTAGTAGTTTTGCTGTGGTATAGAAGTACTTAAAAGTAAGCTTTCACAATTTTTTATTCATTTTAATTTTTTTTGCTGATCCGAAAAATGATCCATGACTCAAAATCCGTAATATGATCCGAACCATGAGTTTTGTGATCCGTTGCACCACTAGAAATAATGGAAAGTAATAATAAAAGTAATTAATTTCCAAGATATATCTTGATCTTGGTGATAAGAAAATCAATTGGTGTGGTTAAAAAAACCCAACTAAATATGCAGAAAATTTAATAAAACGTGTTTTCTTTGCTGTAGGATGTTAATCTCACCTGAAGACAAGGAGACAGATCTTTGAAGGAGCATTGCTGCATTCAGCCAAGCTTTAATAAATGGTCTTTTGATATTTATCATCAAATCCACAACCGGGAAATCCATCATGTCTTGTTCAGACTTCAGTCGCACACACCTCCCTCTACCTGATTCGGTCTTTTGCTGTGAGGTCACTGACTCCCGTCTCTTCCTCTTCCTCTTCTCGTTGAAAGCTCTGATACGCTCTTAATTGACTCCAGTCCATCAGAAAGGGGGGACGGCAAGGCCAGTGGACGGGATGACCTCCTGTGGAGAAAAGTGACAGGGGTTACCGCTGTACTTGAAAAGAGGGACTCGTGGGGAGCCAATGGTGGATGTGTCCAACATCAGTCAAAAGTTTGAAGTTATAAAATGTATAGTTCCCTTCCAGATTGGTCAATACAGAATTTCTGTGGTGCTAAAATTAATTATAGTTATGATGCAAATCTATTAAGCTTAGTTTAAATGTCAGGGACATGCGATTTAATACTATGCATAATGGTGTTTTGGTCAAATAATTATGTCATTTGACTTTTGATCAGACAGTTGCAGGTTTGAATCCTGCCGAAATTAATGATCGGGAATCTGGATTTCATACTAAAATAGGAAAATCTTATTTGTCTTGGGGGAAAAGGCTAACTAAACCAATTTATAATGTTGCATTGGTTATTTCAGGTACATCACTAATGGGCAGTTTTGAGTTGCATTAAATCATCTTGTTAATAAAACATCTTAAACCAGCATCTCTGATTCAAATTGGTTTTAGCTGGTCTCACCTTTCCAATCAGGTGTTCGGCAAGTTAGCCTCTAGTATTCCACTATAAATAACTGTGCTCAAAACCCCTCTAAAACATCAAACTACACTGCTAGAAGTGCTAACTTGCAAGTTTAACCTTAAAGGGGTCATATGATGCGATTTCAAGATTACATATCTACCTCACTATGTGGAAATGTTTGCATAATGCAGCCCAAATGTTCACGCAAAGAAAGAAGGCGTGGTTTCAGTAACCGCAGTTAGTGTTGAAGCAGCCATGTCAGAGAGACGCTGTGTGTTTCTAGGCGAAAGCAAAATAACTTCATTTGGCCTTCCGAAAGTAGATGCATTTAGGAATCTTTAAGATTACTTACAACAGAACAGCAATGAGAGGAGGTAATTCTGACTTTGCTATGACAATCTGGCGCTTCTGAATCAGCTACTGTTTTGTTATTAGTTTAAGTATTTACTATTGACTGTTCAAATGCAGAGTTTTGCGCATCGTGTGTGTGTGTGCACGAGCAAGCGAGAGAGAGCGGGAGAGAGAGAGAGAGAGAGAGAGAGAGCGGGAGAGAGAGAGAGAG